GTTGCCGGTGCCATGGCGGGAGACGGTTCGCAGAAGGGGTTCGTTCGGCGACGAACGATCGACACGGGTGAGACAGAGTAAACAACGCTGGACGTGGCCAACGCGGAATCCGTTTATGTTGGAGCTCGGCGGGTCGTAAGGTGATAGTTGAGTAGATGGGGCGTCGGATTGGGTTGGAAGGCATTCAATTGGCTGAGCCAGAGGCCTGACTGGAAACGAGATGGCACTGCCGGAGAGGGACGAAGAAAATGATCTGGTTGGCGACAAGGGATGTCACGCAGATTAGTGCGAGTCGAAGAAGGCATCTGTCGGGAGGCAAGAAACCGCAGAAACCAGCAGCTCCGCTGTCACAAGCTAGTAGGTCTACAGAAAGGATTGTTTGGTGAAGAGGGGTGCCTCGTCGGCGACACCGAACGAACATTGGATACGGTGGGACGCAATCACTCAGTCTAGACGGGGCCTCGATGGGGCACGAGATCTTGTGGCACGAAAATGATTAGGGAACGAGATATCTTGGCGAGGAGGGATGCCGCTCAGATGAGAGGACGTGCACGTGGCATGGCTTGGACGGCAAGCAATCGGTCGAGCCATGGATGGGAGAGGTCACGGCCGGAGAAGGTTCGAGAAAGGACAACCGGTCGCCCCGGTGGTCTAGTGGTATCCTCGTAATCCGCTGGTCGCAGAGGTCGTGAGTTCGAATTCCCATGGGGTGAAAAAATTACGAAATGTGCGTGTGAAAGCGCAAATAAATGTAGATGACAAGTCTTGTGAGTACCAAACTTCGACGTTAGCACCGTTGACGAGGGAAAGGGACGGCTGGGACCCTTCACGCGATGAAAATAAAATCCAGCACGCACCGCAGGAGGTAGGCGGGGCATGAAAAGAAAGTGAAAGAAGAAAACAACTCCGGTGATTACTCCCTCCTGTGTGACCCTGGATTGTTGTAGTTGTACGGAAAAATACACTGAACAGTTTAAACTATTGCTCAACATACGCTAACTAGTGTAGCACACGTCTCACCACGGAAAATGGGGGGACTGTCGCCATTATTAATAGGACAAAAACACACACACACACATACTGTTGGTGAAAACAGGGAGACCACGCAATTCATTGTGTTACAAGGCGTGGGTTGGGAGACAAGCAATCCAGGTAGGTCGTAGCTCGGCCGGAAGCGAGATGGAATGGTGGGAGAAAGGTGGAGAATCAGGTTGCGAAGGTAGGCACGCGAAGCAAGTGAGTTTGGGTGAACAAGGCGTGGGTTGCTGGGAAAGCTATTGGGGTAAGTCGGAGCTCGGCCGGACATGACATGGGATAGTGCGAGGGTCGAACAACGAACTGGGTTTAGCAAAGAGGGAAGGAACGATACCACGGAGGGTAGAGTGAGTGAACAAGGCGTGGGTCCGGAGGCAAGGAACCGACGTCGGCAGGAACTCGGCTGGACGCGAGATGGCATGGCAAGCGAAGGACCGGGGTTGGGTTTTGTTTGGCGGTGGTAGAGTGGGTGGACGCGGCATGGGTTGGGAACCAAACCTTCGGTTTACCCAGAAGCTCCGGTGGTCGCAGAATGCCATGGCGGGAGAAGGGTCGTGGACGGGTTTCGCTTGAAGACGAGAAGGTGAGAGTGAGTGAATCAGGCGAGAATCCGGAGGTTTGGAATCGGAGTAGCGAGGCGCTCGGCGGGACGCCCGCATTCATTGCCAGAGAACGGTTGGGGAAGGAGGCGTACCTCGCGTAGCTGGGCGTGAGTGGATTGTATATCTGGAAAGGGAAGTGTGAAATCGGCGTAGCCAGGAATCTGGTGGGACACGAGATGGAGGTGGGAGAAGGGTCGAGGCAGCGATTGGTGGCGAGGAGCGATATTGGTTGCAGATCAGGAGTGCATGCAAGGCGTGGGTTGGATGGCAAGGGATTGGTGTAGGCAAGAGCCCAGCCGGGCGTAAGATGGCATGGCATGAGAAGCGTCGGCGAGGGTATTTGCTTGGCGACGAGCGATGTCGGTTGCAGCCATACCGGTGGACTGGAATCTATTTGGCTTGGGGTGGGGAAGAAAAGATCGATACAGCCAGGTGCCCGGGTAGAGACGAGACTTGTACGTCGTGGGGGAGGGGGGGTAAACGCCCGGGCGGTTGCAGACACAGACGTTGTGAGCAGCCAAATAGATGTGGGTTGGACGGAACTTTGCTTGGAGCCGGGAGAGTGGGAGCGGGTGTAGCCTGGACCTCGGACAGAATGATAAGGGAGAGGGTGGTCAATTCCTGGGTTTGGCGTTGAAAGAGGTCCGGTGCAGCAATACTGCTGGAAAGATGGAGGACAAGGGGTGAAGGACAAGGGATCGGTGAAGCCACGAGCTCGGACAGAGGCGAGAAGGTGTTAGGATGTGAGAGTGAACCGTCTGCCGAACCAAATGTAAATCTCTCTCACCGCCAGATGCCAGATGTTCTTCTACATTTTTACACTGACACCGGCTGCAGCGGTAGCTCTCCAACCTTGGCAGATGTTTGGGGCGCAAGACACTGGGCTCAAAGTGCAACGATCGGGATGTTATCTCATCAATGCCCGGGCAAGAGCATTCACTTGTAGGGACCCCGAGTAGGATAGTGATGCCGCCTGGCCCCAGAGTACGCGCAGCGGGAGCGCGCGTTGCCCACGAGACCGGGCTCCCGCGAAAGAGAATGTACACGCGACAAGCCGAAGCAAGCATCGCTGTCGGGGGAGAGATTGAACCCTGGGTACGGAGGGAACGTGTAGGCAAACGCGCGGGCAGGGTCCTCTTGGTCAACATCGGTGCTAGATCCTGATCGGCCGAAATCATTGCCCGGTGGGTGATATCAGACAGAGTCGAAATTCGCAGCGATAAAGACATAGCCTGTTGTTCAGCTTTCATAGAAGCCAAGCGTAACTTCCAGAGGAGTCGAGCGTACCTTCCATGGAAAAAGGGCGAAATCCATTCACTCAAGCACGTTTTCAGGACTTCCGTGGTGCTCCTTCCAGGCCGAAACCCAATCTGAATTCTTCCTCCGAGGAGAAGTACAGAACGTGCTTTTCCGTGAAATTGTATACTTTCCACGGAATGCTTCGATTCGAACTCCGTGGGGAAAAAACACACATCAACTTCTACTGTGGAACGTAAACCTTGTCCATGTCCATGCTATGGGATGGCGAGTGCTCGGGTCGGCATGAAAACAATCATATCGAGCTGCACTATGATAGGAAATGAAACATTCTACGGGATGGCGAGAGCTCGGGTCGGCATTAAAAAACAATCATATCGAGCTGCACTACGAGAGGAAATGAAACATTAAATTCTTCGCCAGTTCCACGAAGAAAGTTGCGGCAGACGGTAAACGCCAGGGTTTGATGGTATGTTGAGACAAACATCGGGAAAGGTTGTTGCCCGTCCTCCATGAAATTTCCACAATATCCACGAAATAGACCTGTATGAAGAGCTTCCCAGGAAAGTTCCAACACTTCCACGAAGAGATGTACGGATCACCGAGGACAGCGAAACCGCACACGACGACGGTGGTTTGACGGGCACCGCCAGTTTTGGTGTCGATCCCCGCGCGCCCCCGGTCGACAAAAACCTTCGAAAATCTTGTCGAACGAGGGAACAAATAAAAGTCAATCGATCGTGGAGTGAAATGGGTACATTGACAAATGTCCAGAACATCAATCTGTTGACGACATATGTATATTTTAGGCTGTCGACCGGGCTCCCAGTCAATTCGGCATGACATTGTGGTATACTTTTTGTACAGAATACCACCAACAGTTGCGTGTAGCAGCACTCCTCTAACAGCATGCACGGCCCGCGGGCGTGCCTTCTTCTGGAGTATGCATTTATTGTATCTCCTTCATCCCATACATTCATGACAAACAAAAGTCGTTCGCAATCCCCCCTACCCAATTGCCTGCAGCCAGCCTTGCTCTTCTCGATTATTGTAGATAGCTTCGAAGAAGAGATATTCAAAGATGTTCCTCCCCAAATGTCCGCTCGCACACGTGTACAGTGAGCTGCCTCTCCTTGATATCCATTGGCACTGAACCGCACCAATAGCTAGCTGTGTTCATGATGCCCACGTGTATGTTCTTCGTTGTTGATTCACTAGAGCACTACGTTGGGACGCATTGCGCTATTTTAGTTGGTGCCCCCCCCCCAAAAAAAAACAATACACCGTCGGTTCCTCCCGCGCTTCTCGCGAATAATCTCGTCGAAGCCAATATTTTCATCCTTTCGCGTGAACGCAACGAAGCGTGGAGAATTCGAGAATCCTATGCCATAGACCAGGCTCCTTATACAAACGGCAGAACGGGGTATTGTCTGTTCCGGGACGGCTTTCGATCAGCAAGAAACACACCACCGAGGATCCTGGGCACGACCGGTAAGGCGGGTTCGTTGTGCGTGTGTACCTGTTGGGCTATTGGATAATGCTTGTCTTCAATGTTTATTTGGCTGCAGGCATTTCCTCCGAACTTGTTTCCTCGAAAAAATATGAAATGCGCGTGGAGAACAAAGGGACAAATCTGCAGATAGACGATCATGCGGTACCCGATGTCGCCCATGCACAACGAATGCGTGCAGCAACCGAATAGGACTCACCGAGGCACGCCGCTACTCGTCCACCAGAAGCACTGCTAACAACAACAGCGTCATATCTGTCGGTGAATAACTGCAACGTGCATGTGTGGAATATTTCTGAGCGGAAAGACTAACTATTTGTTGCGGTCCGCATCGGTCCGCAGCAGCAGCAATCGAACGAACGGAAGGAGGTAGTGAACATGTACATCAAAGGAGACGTGATGGGACGCGACACTCTACCTCTTCCCTGGGGGCGACCCCTGTCGTGCGGTCGGCTCTGCCATCCGGATGAGATCGATTACAACACTATCCATCTCACACCCACGGAGCACACACCTGATGTGCTCTGAGACTGACCCTAGCCGAACAGTGGCCACATATTCTCTCCTGCACCAGACCCTACTACACTGCGGTAAGTATGCATCTTCCCAAGGTGCTGCTGTACGGCATTCTCGCGTTCCTCGCGTGCGCGATGTCGGGCATTCAAGCTCGACCCTTCGGCGACGGACCTACATGGATTCGCTCGTGCGACGACATCCCCACCGAGGCTACGTTGGCCGGGACGACGCTCACGATCCTCTCGTCAATCGACTGTGGCGACAACCCCAAGGTGAGATGAGATCTTCTTTGATCCTCTTCGATGACATGTGTTCTTTGGAACGTCAGCGAGGTTATTGATCTCAACAACAGCTCGTCTAAATACTACTTGTGTACAGCAGCAGTGGTATCAAGACTTGGGAGCATTTTGGTGACAGAAAAAAGAGAGTGGTGTGTGTGGGCAGGTCGTCGTTGCCAAGCTAGCGTCGTTGGTCAATCTGTATAATCCCGAGGTTGCTAGGAAGGCACCGGCACTGGCTCTGCTGCGAAGCCAAGCACCCGCCACCAAGATCCTCCTTCTCGGTGCTTGCTGCCTGAGTGCGGGCCGGACCGTACCTGCATGTAGCTTCTTTTTCCGAAACTCATCGCCGGGTTGATTTCGACATCGTTTCGAAAAATTAAGAAATGATACCACACGTTGTTCGTACAAGGAGCACCCCGCTTCCGCATCATCATCCGCTGGCTCCCACCGTACCGCGATAATGATATTATGGCCTATCATATGTTGACGTGATGGTTCCATCCCTATCTTCCAGTTGAATGAGAGGTAAGTATGTCCGCCTTGCATGCGCCCCAAGGTTTTTCCACCGCCATCATCCCCGTATGGACTTCCCATTGATTGTGGCCGTTGGATATAGACTATATACATGTATGCATGTGCATTTCATGATCTTGTTTTTTCAACGAGCGCGAAGTGTTGTCAGCTATATTGCTGCTTGGATGGGATATGTATCTAGTTGTCTTGCAAGAACTGCAGGATGATCCTCTCCGCTGCCTCGCGAAAGTTAGGGGTCGAGATGGGCAGCATGAACAACGCTGACGAAGGAAGATCAAAATCTTTATCATATAAATGCTGTAGTTTAGTAGAGATAGATAGACAGGGCAAAAAATAAAAGTCAGCACGCACCGCCGAAGAAAGGTGGGGCAAGAACAACAAGAAAAAGAAGAAAAAAGCCCAGGTATTCAGACTACCCCCCTCCTGTGTAACCCTGGATGGTTGGTTGTAGTTGTACGAAAAAATAAACTGGAACGTGGTGTACTCTTACATACACTGAAAAGCGTAATACATGTATCACCAGAATATATACAGTAGGGCGACTGTCGCCAAAATGTAGGGGAACGAAAAAACAATTAATTGACAAAAAAACAAAAAAATACATTCATACGAAGTACATACATGACATGTATGTCGTCTGAAGGGAAAACGCGGCATGTCATGTTCTTTGCCGTAGGTATTTCTCGATGCATGTTCGCGAATACTGTCTCGCTCTTCCTTCTGTACGTCCCAACAATACTTCTCACTCGGACCCGTCTTGTTTTTTTGTGTTTGACGTATGTACACAGACGATCGTCGTTACCGGTGACACGGTGGTGCGCTCCCACGCCCCGATGAACACCATGGGCATTGCCTTGAAGGTCCACGCTGGGGCCAAGTTGACGATCCGCGCGCCAACAGTCGTGATGAAGAGGAGGGAGGTAAGTGCACATCAATATGAACAGGGCGAAACTACTTCAACAATATTACCGAAAACCCATCCCATCGTGTACTTGTTGTCAATAATTTCTGGAATAGATTAAGGTATTCTACAGCCTACGTTTAAGGCTTTCCCATACCTCCGGTACTGTGGTTATTTCATCGTGGTGTTCCTTCCCGCTGTATATTTCAATGAAGGCAATCTCCCCCCTCCCCTGCGCGCGCGTGCGCCGCTGTTACACTGTTCGACTAAAGATGGACAACCAACCCATCCTTCGGGTCTTCGGGAACGTCCAATTTGACGTGACCAGGTGGCTCCCCGAGCACCTCGATGGCACGCTGGTGAGCTCAAAAGCGATGATTGAACAACCTGCCAAAGATTTCGCCGCCATGTGTTCGGTATGTTGGCTTGAGTACACCCCTCCTGCCACGATGCTGTCCCAACACTTGCCGAAAAAACTGAGTTGGCCCAACCAAGACGATGCTGAGTCGAGATAGACATACTCCCACTCGCCCCGGTGTATGTGGTCCCGGGACTATGAGTGTTTTGTTCTCTGCGCGTGTACGCGCGGCATGGTGTCATCGAGACACTCGCGTCGCCTTGAAACAACTCGATGGTACACTTCGAATAGCCTAGACAAATTATTGGTGGCTAGATTTTTAGGTGACCTCTGCGCACGACCGTTTTTGCATCATCTTTGCCTTACTTGAGAGAATAAAGGGTATGAATACGATACCTAAATTTTTGTCATCACCATCATCATCAGCAGCAGCAACAACAACGATATCTCTGACCTCTGCTGCTGCTGATTCTGCTGCTGCCATTTGGTTGTCGCACATGCGCAGATGGACAAGGACGGGGTTGTGGCCTTCGAGGGCCAAGGGTCCCTAGAATCTCGAAACACCATTAGGTACACGGCCACGTCTGTCGTGGTGGCCGACCCTGCGGCCGCAGACCAGGTACTGCACGCGTTGTTATTATCTTCGTATTCTGAAGGAAAGACACACATACATGTTGGTTGAGTTTCGGGCGTAACCACTTTCTCAGGCTCGAGCTCCTTGCGGCAGGTAGGTCATGATCAACTCTGGCGGTGCCGCAAGTATGCAGTAGTTCACGAGGGAGGGTCGTTTCTGTTGTTGATTTTTCATTGACCGTGGAAGCGCTTGCGAAACGCTCGGGCCCGTCTTCGGAAGACGTCGCTCCTTCCAAGTGGCGGCACTCCTCCGTAACTTGTTTTCCGAAATCTCTCTAGGAGGATACAGCGAAAGATTCAGAAGGCAACTTCTCACCTGCCCCTAGCCACCACCTCCTGGCGCGCACGCTCTCTCCACAAGAACATGTCGCAGGAAAGTTGCCCCTGTACGGCTGTTCGCATGACGAAGTCGCTGACTTCCTCGTTCTCCCTCTACCCCCCTCCAACGTTGCACGCACATCGAAACAACCAACAACAGAAGGAGGCCGACCTTACGGCGTCGAGTATGCCTACCGACCCTGAGCTTCGCAGGAAGCTGGACATCCGCCACGCCAAGAGCAACAGGGAACGCGACTCCGCCGCCGCCACTGCCGCTACCGTCGGAGAAGTCGCCGACGAAAAGTTCTCCTCCTCCGCCACCACCCCTAGCCGCGCCGCGGCGGTCTCCACTGTTGTTGCTGCTGCTCCCGACGACAGCGATGATGGCGACAAGACCGCCTCTGCATCCGAGGCCACACCCGCTTCATCTACTGCCACCGCTACGCCTGCAACGCCCGCGACAGGCACTGCTGCCGACCCGAGCACTCGGGCGGACGTTGGCACCAACCCCGCTTCCGGTGCGTCGATGGCCGAGTTCATGACGGGCAAGGCCCGTCACGCTCGCACCGTCAACGACCACGGCAAGAAGGCCGTCGCCGGTGGCGGGGGCGAGGGTTCTTCACCGATTCCCGTTTCGAATTCTTGGACCACCAAGAAGAAGGCACGCCAGCACAGGCAGCAGCAGCAGCAGCAGCAGCAGGAGGAGGAGGAGGAGGAGGACCGGCGCCATAGCAAGCGCAACGGTACTGGCGGTAACAACAACAACAACAACAACAACAACAACAACAACAACAACAACAACAACGACAGCAACCGCAACCGCAACCGCAACTCGTTCTCCCCGCCCAACGAGTTCCACGACGAGAACGTCTTGCGGGCCGAAAGATTTCTGTTCGGGAAACTAGTGAGCCCGGGCAAGAAGGCCATGATTTACGTCTCGCCCAACTCCGGCTCCGTCGTGCACGCCGCGTCCGTCGGAAGGGCACCCCGGGACGAGGAAGGGCGAGAGATCGGTCCCGTACCGCAGAAACTGATGACTGTTCTCACCCCCAACGAGCAGCAGATGTCCAAGATCGAGAGGAACCGTTCCGAAATCTGGGCGCAGAGGTTGGAGAGAAGTAAGGCTTTGCGCGAGGGCCACGAACTCAAGAGGTCAAAGATGGCCGCCATCATGAGCGTTTTGCCGTTTGGCAAGAACGGCTTCCGCCGGAGGCGAGCGCGGGAGCACGCGGAGGCTCACTTGATGGAGGCCACGCTGAAGCTCACCAACAGGGGAACCTTGGTACGTTGGAGGGCAGCAACGAGTCTAAAGCCGTGGAGTGTCAGGGGGGTTTGGTAGGATGTTTTGTGGTAGGTTCTTGCAAACTGCACCCTGCAGTATTCCCCCCCGGTTAATTGTAGATACAGTAATGTCCCCCCTCTCATTCTGGAACGCTTGATCGGTGGTAGAAGTCAGATGTAGTGGGTGCAGAACCCCATGGCCGGCACACAAAATCACCCCCTCGAAAATCTACAAACACCATGTCCCATTACACTCCCCCCCCCCTCAACCGCTTTGTTTGCGGTACCCCCAACAATATTCAACTGAGCAGGAGGTTTCCATCGACGGCACAATCGTGCAGCGCAAATCCCGGCCATCTTGGCTCGGGTTCCTGAGGAGGAAAGACCCTTCATTCGAGCTGCGAGTCACGATGGAAGGGATAGAGATTTATCGACGAGGGAAACTTGACTGGGTCATCAAGGCCGAGGACATTTTCTAGGAAGGGGTCTCCACCACCGACCCAAAGCCTGATTTTTCTTTCGTTTTTCTTTTCATCTCAGTGGGGACCGTGCGCTTCGCCCCCAAGATGTTTATTTCTTTGGGCATTTACTCTGTGGACATGTGCAGTTTCTCGAACGATACTACTTGTAGGAAGGGCAACGGAGATCCGTACCCTGGGTCAAAGAAGCTTTTGTGAAGTTATCCTTGTGAGCCTTACAGCGTCGTTCAGCAAGGCCTTCAATTCAACACCGAGGAGGAGGACGAGGTGATGGCGTGCCCGT